AGTGATCTTGGAGCCCAAATAAATGAAGTTTGTTACTACATTAACAACTTATCTCCCAAAATGCCCTTAAGGAAGGAGGGCTCCAGCGAAACATCTCATGAAAAGCAGTGGAGAATAACCCGAAGGAAATACAATATTCTTCTTTGTATTTGCCAAAGGGTTGTCTGACCATGGCAAAACACTTATAGCATGTTCAGTATTTTTAATTTTCCTTTGCTAAAAATATAGGATGCAAAGTTTTTTTTTTTTTCAAAGAGTTCCTTTTCAGATCTTATAAATAGCAGGCAGTAAGGGGTGATTCCACTTTAGTAACTTTAAAAACAAGGCAGTTAAGAAACTACAACTTCCTAATTGGATTGAATAAGTTGCGAATTTCAATGGAGGGGTTATTAAAGGAATTCTGAAAGGAATTCTGAAAGGAGTTCCAGGGGCGAAATCATATCTTAGTAGAAAATTACAAATTTTCTGAAGAGCCAACCTAATCCTTTATCCAAGCTAAAAATAACAACAAGAAGAATATAGTACATGTATTAACGATTTTTTACTCTAACTGTTGTCAGATATATTGATGACTGTGAACCAGCGCAGAAGCCTTCAATATGTGGAAGTCTGTCCGTGCCCTTTAATTTACATTTTTTGTTACTGGAGATGATGAAAAGTCCTGCTTGTAGAAAAAGGACTGAATAGAGAAAACTTGTTTTTTAAAAAACTGTTATTTTACTCTTCACATTTTTAATTGAATATCCAAATACTATTGCTATTATTTGTATTGGCTTTATACTATTATAACTTATACAGTAACTTAAAGCTGTTTTTTTTTTTAATAAATAAAAAACTTTTTCAGTGTTTTTATTTTATTGATAGCTTTTCATGGACACGTAATGGAACTCACTTTGATATAGATAAAGATGCACGGGTAAGAATGAAGCTTCACTCAGGAACTCTTTTAATAAATATTATTAATGAAGAAAGTGGAGGAAAAGCAGAATTATATGAAGGTGTTTATCAGTGCACGGCAAGGAATGAGCTTGGAGCAGCAATTTCCAATAATATTGTTATAAGAGCATCCCGTAAGTTTAATATTAATGAAATTTTATTTCTCTTCTTTTTTAAAAAATAGGTCTTTTTAAATATCAAAACAGTTTTTTTTAAAAAAGAGAATTATTTATGGTATTCTAGCTAAATAAAAACATGAAAAACTGGCTATATTCTCTGAATGTTCATAGTAAATTAAGCAACTGAATATTTGCTTTTTGTCCAGTATATTGAAAATCAGATGTTATTGAAAGGATGGCACTTAAAATAAATATTATTATGCTTGAGTATGTTGTTATTATAATTCTCCTAACTCTGGGCTAAGGAGGTTGGAGTCCCTTGTTGAGTTTGTGATATATGTTGTTGTTATTGACCCGATTTGCCATCTTATTATAGTTTCCCCCCCCCCCATTCGATGGTATATTTGTTGTGAACCACCCACAATCTGGAGTTGGATGGCACCTAAATTGAATTCAACTGAATTAAATAAATATAAATTAGATATATCAAAAGCTGTGCTTTTTTAAAAAAAAAAGTCCAAAAAATTAAATAAGACAGGACAGTGAGGCATCTTCAAGGGAACTATTGTTTTTAATTGCATCCTTAAAACAGTCATGGGGCCATTGCAGATGAACATGCGGTGAGGAGAAGCAACCGTTTTTTCAGAAGGATATCCTGAATTATTGCACAGTAATATAATTATAATCTGATCTACTAGTACAACATTTCAACTGCTTGAATTTACAGTATCACTCACATTGGATAAACCAAAATCAATAAAACCTAAGTACATTGGTACCTTCTCAAAATAATATTAGTTTTTTTACCATTCTGTTTGTTAATTTGCATTTGAAAATTAAATATAATTTTCATTTTCTCTGGGAGAATGCTGCTACTGACATTCATGCTATATTATATTAAAAAAATACACTTCCGTATGTTATGTGGACTCTTTTTCCATTCCTGGTTGTTTCTTTTCATTCTTAAGACTAAATGACAGTGTTTTTTTCCATATAGGTTCTCCTTTATGGACTAAAGAAAAACTAGTTCCAGTAAGAGTTACTGAAGGTCAATATGCAATTCTTCCCTGCAGGCCACCAGCAGGATTACCACCACCTATAATATTTTGGATGGATAACTGTAAGTTACATTTGAAACCCACATGCAACTATGAAATTAAAACTATATTTTCATTTTTTCTGTTTCTGATCATCCATGGATTATAGCAATAAGACATATGGAACAAGTTATTTTGCTATTCTACATGCCAGTTACAATTCAAATTCATTTTGCCTCAGGTTTATAATAACCTGGACTGCAAAATAATTGATAGGCCCTGATCCTACAACAAAGGGAAATCTCGTGTTGTGGGAGTACTAAAAATGGTCAGATGTACCAGTCAGACATATCCTAGAAGATTAGCTTAGCCCAGAATAGGTCTTGTGTATACTTTCAGGACCACCTATTCCCATCAGTATTGGCCTGACCAATTAGATCTATCAAAGAGAAATAAGTGCAAGTCCCATACTAATGAAAGGTTTGGGGAGCTGAGTTAAGGCTGTGCTGCTTTCTATTGCAGCACCGGCATTATGGGACAGCCTCCATCTCCCTGATGGAGATCAGATTGGCTTCCTCTTTGTTGGCCTTCTGGAAGCTCTTGAATTATTTTGGAGAGCTTTCCGCTTATGTGAACGTTGCCATCTATATTTTTATTTATCTTATTTGTAGTTTATATTGTATGATTCTTCTTATTCTATTGTTATTGTAGTTTTATTCTTACAGTGGATGATTTAATCTGTATTTGTTCTATGTAAACCATCAAGAGTTTTGTTTTGTTTTTTTTCCATTTCAGTAACATAGAAATATGTTAAATACATACATACTTACAGTGCTGTGGGGTGGGGTTCAAGTCATGGGTGGCTGCAACAGGACAAACAACAAAACATGCAGTGCAGTGCAAACTCCAACCTTTTTGAATATGTGCTGCGCTGTTGTACAGAAATATGTATGTGGCAGAGCTTTTATCACGAAATCATGATGCATGTTTCATCATTCTGACAAAATTGTGGCTTGCTCCAGACTGTCCTAGTTCAACTATAGGAATTTATGGCCTCCATGGTAACGAGAAGCTTGTCCCAGATCATCTGTGGCCCAGCACACTTAGGCAGTCACACATTAGATCTAGTCTTCAACTGGGAGCAGTTGCACGATAATCTGAAAATATAGGATTTGTTTCTTAGTCCTTAGCTGTGGTCAGATTGTTCTCTGGTTTGTCTGAATTTAGTTGCTACCTTTAATCTACACAGGGCAGGAGGACCCATTAGGTTGGTGTTAGTTACATAGAATGGACCGGATGGATTCCCTGGGGAGTTCCCTAGAAGGCAGTTCCAACAAGTGTGTGGTTTAGCTTTGGAAAACAGAGGTGACCAAAACACTAGACAAAATTGCTTCCAACCAGTCTCTCTGTGTTCACTGATCCCAGGTAGCCTTTGGTTTGCCAATTTGCCCTGGGAAATAAAACAGCAGAAAAGATGCTTAGAGCATCAGTGGAGCAAAACCAGAAGTGAATTTGACAGAATACGAGTACTTATGCACCAACAGGCACTGTAGCAATAAAGGCAGGAAATGTTCCTGCTTCTCTATCCTTATGGCATCAGCTTACAGTACCCTAACAACCTTGTTTAGGTTGATCTATCTCCCTTACAGGAGATGAGAATAAGCTGCTTTAACAGATTCAGGCACTGATAAAAATGTTAAAATTCACTGAAATCTCAACTCCACATAGGCAGAATCTGTGGAGATAACAAAAATCTTGCAATATTATTTGGGATCTATTTCATCCAGTGGATTCCAATGAAGTTGATGTGGTACTGGGCAGCATGAGTGTTACCATTTGTGAACTGGACTCCTGCCTAACCTGGCTTCTTTGGGAGTGGAGGGTAAGGTTATCAGCTGAAACTGGTAGGTTATGAATCCTTTATTGGGGGTGGGACTAATGCTTCCTGTCTTGAGGAGTGCAGAGGAACACTTTAACTTGAAGAAGTCCTCTCTGGGTTTGACTGTCTTAGAAAATTACCATCCACAATTACCATACAATCTTCCCTTGCAAAGGAAGATAGACAAGATGGTGGCTCTTCAGCTGGAAAGTGGATGAAGCAAATTATGTGGATTCTTTTCAGCTAGTGTTCAAGCCTGGCTATAGGTCAGAAACAGCATCAGTCATGGTGGATGATCTAAGACTGGATATGGATGTGGTGAGAACCCTCTCCTGATCCTCTTAGATTTCTCAGTGATGTTTTATACCTTTGACCACGGTATCCATCTGTGCTACTGTCAAGCCTTGGGGGTTGGAGGCACTATTTTACAGTAATTCTACTCCTTCCTGAATGTACAGTTTCAGTAAGAGGGGGGAGGCAAATGCTGACATGTACGCAATAACATTGGCATGCAAATATACCACTTACATACTTGCCTCAGATGTCATGATATCATTATATAAATGCACCATTTGTGTGATAATGTCATCACATATGTTATTTTGATGTCATGAAATGTTACAATGCTTCTGTTTGTAACTGACAAGGTTAATTGTGGAAACAGAAACACCGTTTTCATGAAGGATGTAACTGTGATCTCCCCAGATTTCTGTCTCCCATCTTAATACTTCTCATATTGTTTCTATAACTAATATAACTAACAGGTTTGTGTTAAAATTATAATTTGTTTTTAGGAAATAGCTCCTGTCATAATGCAAGTTATGACTTGGCATAGTGGTTATGATGAGGTATTTTTATCTCCACTTTCCTAGTATAATAAGCAGAATTTCAAGAGAAATTCTGAATTATCATCCCAGATATTCCACACTTACATAACCATTCATTGAGCCTTTATTCAAGCGATTAAGAAGCAGAAGGCATTAAACTGGATGCTACAAATTGTTTGAGTGTGCTATTATGAGGCACTTTAATAAATCAATATGGCTTATTGGTGCTTATCAAATTTTATTAAGCAGGTTTCCAAAACAGAAGTTCTATATTAGACAGCAAGCTTGTCTTCCTTTTCCTGATTATCTGACAAGAAATTCCTTGTTGTTGTTGTTGTTGTTCAGTCGTTAAGTCATGTCCGACTCTTCATGACCCCATGAACCATATCGCGCCAAATGACAGACTGTTTCAAGGTGTAATTCCAAGTGATGCTTTTAATATTTAAAACTGTCTCCCTTTTGAAGGACTGTATTCTTACATCAACCTGTCCAATTACTAAAATCTTAATGAGAGGTTCTTTTCTTAGTGATGATGCTTATGATGATGCTTAGGCAATAGATTTTCAAGAAATGTTTGCTTACACTGTTATAAACACATTTCATATCTTTATTTTTGTCTGTTAATAGTGATTGTACTGTAATTAATAGAAAATGTTTTCATAGGTTATCTACAATCTGATGTGGTTCTTTACAATTTTTGTTGCTGAACATGGCCTAATGTACTGTAGTCATATTATCTGAAATATTTTTTTTATTTATTGTACTTAGAATATGTGATGACTTTTTTTTTAATATTCTGTCCCACTTTAGGGACTGTAATTAGATGTTGAATATATAATAAATATCCTGAGAGAAATAAAGTATCTCTGCTATGCATAGAATGAATTATACAAACCATAATAAGAACTGGACCATTTATAACAATTTCTGTGAAGATTCTGAAACTGCCCTAATAATAGAAATTGTTGAGGATTATATCAATTAAGAAAAACTTCTCTTAAAAGTAAAAATCTCTTAAAGTTGAGCTAGACTACTTGTGGCTATAGAACAGAAGTGGCTTGCCAGAGGAAAAAGTTGGTAATTTATATATATGCTTAAAATAACCCTATACTGTGAGCTGGCACTACAGATGTTTTGTTTCTTATTTTTATAGCTTTCCAAAAGCTGCCTCAGAATAATAGAGTTTCACAAAGTCTAAATGGGGATCTTTATTTTTCTAATGTAATACAAGAAGATAGCCGTGAGGATTATATATGTTATGCAAGATTTAACCACACTCAAACTATTCAACAGAAGCAACCTATTTCATTAAAAGTTGAACCAGGTAGGTATGAATTTCTAAATTTGTTTGTATGCATTATATTTAGCCAAAATGTAATTTGTGTTAGTATACAAGATACAATTTTCTTGCAAAATTGCGTCTTCTTGGAACATAAGTAAATGGAATATTTACAAAAAGTCAAAGTAATTTGCAATATATTTTTATTAGAATTTTATAAAAATATATGTTGTTATAGTTTCAATGCTTAAATTCCTTTTACATCAGTAAGATTTAAGCAACCACTTAGCCGAATTTCAACTTTCATTTGAATTCAGTTTGATAAGATTTTATGTATGATACCCACTCAGAAATTTCTTGTATGTGAAATTTCATGTGATAATCCCATATAGAAAACAAAATGCATTGTTATTTAGATCAAAAATGGCAACTTGTAGTTTCTGTAGCCTGGAAAGACTAAATAAATTAGAACAATGTTTCATACTTGTGCCAATCACAGCCCTTACCTGTTTGAGAAACTTTCTTGGGGGAAGGGAAATCTTCCTATTGTTTACAATGAAAGAAATACATTAAAAGTGGCTCTCAAGCTGTTCTAAATATTTGGGAATTTCTCAGACAGGAGAACTAGCTTCAGAGGAATCAAATGTGCTTTAATCCTCCCAGGCCAGAGACCTATTTCCTATTTTGGATGGGAGAAATCAAAATAACCTATGCATATTGGACACTAAGAAGGGTCATTGATTGTGTTCAAAATTCCTTTGTGCTTGAGGTTAACAGCATTGGTGTACAGATAACAGGATTGAGTCCCACATTTAATTTTGTTGGTTGCATTCTTCATGATATTCTATTTATTTCAGTGGATTCATTGAATGACACTTTAACTGCTAATATGAGTGACTCTGATTTTTATGGTGGTGAGTTTTAGAGATGAACATTATTCCTTTCATATAGAGTTTAGTTAACTAACATTAATCCATGGCTGCTTAACCTTACTGCCCATACTACTTTAATATATCTCATTAGAACTGGAGATATGTTAAGTAAATTGCATAATAAAAAGATTATTGGATTAGATAATTTAGAAATAACAGTAGAATGTTTGCATGAAGAACATGTTTCACTTTGATCCAAAAATCAACATAACAACCTTTCTTTTCATTCTGTATTCTTTGATGATTCATTATTCCTGGAACAACACAATAATGCATAATTATTCTAAATAATAAATATGCTAAAGTACAATGAAAAGCTGCTTCTTCTGTTTAATACCTTACTAAATATGTGATTAAATTGTTAACTATTTAATACATTTGTGTTAGGATGAATATATTTGCTACATGTTTAAAATTATGTTCTAGTGTGACATTTTATTTAGCAAATTTCAGTCCTTTATGAAGGCAGAAATCAAGTTATGGCTCTCACTATGATCATTATTATTATACCTTATAATATAAAAAATATAACATTATTTATTGTCTATAAATACTTATTCCATATAATTTTTTGAAAATATAAAAGCAATTGTTAAAAAGACACACCAGCTTTTAATATATATGATATGAATTAGAATATTTCTGATATCATAGTCTTCCTTTACTTACCTTTGCATGCACCTTTTGCCTTTTCAGTTGCCATTGCCCATGACTATTCAAGGAATACAAACACACATAGAATACTCTGTCTTTTGCTTTTTTGTAAAACATCATTTAATTAGAATATTTTTGTATTGGCTGATTTGCAATTTTTGTGCAAGTGTTCAGATACAGTGCCTTGATTATTTTCCTTTTCTCCTTAAAACAGTAGGTAGCTTAAAATAATTTCTTTGAATACCTGAAGCTCGCATGCAGAAAACAGGGCCACCTCCTCACTCTGGATTTCTGGAACATACTATTTCTTATAAAATCTTTCTCCCTGGACCCACCTTTATTCCATATTTAAAATAATTCCTCATGTTAGGGAAGTAAGCATGGGCAGATGCTAGAAATCTCTAAAGGATTAAATTGTATCAAATTACAGCTCCAGTATTTCCTTAGGAGAAGCTGTGGAACTAAGGCTGGATAGAGCTATTGTACATTTATAATGACAGTACTTCTTCCCCATGTCCTCTTTGCTTATAACTATTCGGAATCCCATTAATGAGAGCAAGAGTTTGAATATCCATGGAAGATAACTAAATTCATAACAGAATTTATATATAACAATTAAAATTAATATACTGTATAATTCAAAATCAAATTAGATTTTCCATGGAAAAAGTTTATCCATCATTGTAACTCAGTGAAGTACCCAGCATTTTCAGTATTGTATTGTATTTATCTTAAGACTTTTTATACTAGAGTTTTAATAATAAATTTTCCAAGAAAAAGTCTCTTATGCAATCTATGATCAAATTTGCAGTTTAAAAAAAATAGAAAGGAAAAGTAGGATTTTGATATATAAAGCAAAGCCTTATCTCTGTCCAAATTATCTCTTTCCAAAATGATCAAGTAATCCAACAAGTCATAGAATCTCAGATAAAACATGGATTTTGTTCTATAATTACTGAATATATGGATATATGCATTTATAGTGGATACAAAGAATTAGTTTCATTGTAGATTTTGAATTCCATTTAAATGATATGTAATTCTTTTTTTTTTTTCTTTTAGTCAGATTTTATTCAGAAAGACCCCCAACTCTTCTAACACCTGCTGGAAATGCAAGTAGCCAAATAGAACTAAGAGGAAACACTCTTATGCTGGAATGTATTGCAGAAGGATTGTGAGTTGTCATTTTAATCAAGGAAAATAAGAATAATGATATAATTTTAATTTACATATCCATGTGCCAAATACCTGTTGAAATAATTCAGCAATGCCCACAGAGAGAAAGGGAGGCAGTTTAGATATTTATTCGTCCCCGTCTGTCTTTTTCCTTCGTAATTGATAATGTCCTTGTTCAACCAATAAAAGATGAGCTTTTCACTAAATTACTAGACAATGAGTAACGGAATACATTTTCATTTATCAGCGTCTTGATAAACTAACATCAAGAAGCAACATCAACTGTTCTTTTCCGTACTATAGTGACTTCATAGTATCTGCTGCTCCCATCGGTCACCCTGGAACTGCCAAGAACAGACACCACAATGTTCACATGCCACATTGACATTATTTGCCATCGCTGATAATAATGTTACTGACCACATTGACCACTTTCTCCGTACTATCCTGGTACTCAGACTGAGTATGTTAACGTGGAATTGTGAGATTCACTACTATAGGATGAAATTATCAAAATGTTTTTAATAATTTATTAAAATGCATCATATTCAAATATAGCCTTTACATTTCTCTGTTTTGCGTGAAGTATTTGTAGCAGCTTCTGCAGGGGAGGGATCAAAATATGCAAGGTGTTTGATGTCTCATTGCAATGCAAGTCCTGTCCATTTTGTTCATAGGTGTTGAATCAATGTACATAAAAATGTGTGAGGTTTGCATTGCAATGTTGCAAGCATCATCTTGCCTGTTTTGATAGATTTCCCTCTATCAATACACCTGGACAAGCTCAAATATGACATTCAGAAACAACTATTTCTACCTTTCATGATGCTTGCTGGGAGATTGGAAGGCATTAGGGAGGCAGCCATAACCATCTCTTTAGATGACTAAACCAAGACTTCTTACTATACATCTCAGTTGATAAATAGCAGCTTATACGTAATTTTCTGGTCTTTGCTCATTTGCCTTTATACTTAAGTAATATAGTAAGTTGATCAGTGTCTTCAGATTTCTTTTGGATCTCATTCTATAATATATATATGTATATAAAGCTGATACATAGTGTGATATATATTAGGTATTCTTATATATATACACACACTATAGATAGTAAGAGAGGTAACCTTGACAGAAATATGCAAGAACCATTACCTAGGTAAAGGGGTCTGAAACATTATTTAAGGCCAGAGAAACAAGATAATATTCGGAAACAGCTCAAGAAGGTGCCCTGATTCACTAAGGGGGTGGGGTACAGCATAATCAGACTTGCAAGATTCTGTTATAGCCAGTATCAGTAAAGTGTAGTTCTGGTCTTCTTGTGGAATTGATTTTCTGGTTTGGTCTACCAAGTGTTCTGACACACACATTAATAGAAATTACATTTATGAAATAGAAGAGGCAATTTTCACTGATTTTCCCTTTCTTTAATCTCTTGTATTTTTCCAGAGGCTTCCCAACCTTTCCCAACAAAGGCTGGGTCAGCCTGCAAGACTGAAAGAATCAGCAAAAAATGATCTTTCTCCCTTTTGTCAGTAGAGTTGGAATCTGCTCATATGATATCTATCTCAGAAGGCCTTATCCTTGGTTTATTATATTTGGGCAAATTATAGTTGGCAGCAATACTGCCTTTCAGCCCTGTCCAATTAAAATAACACATAGTATAGGCAATAGAGCCCACAAGATGTAACTATTGTATAAATAAGTAGTTAGTGCATTTCACAAAACTTAAAATAAATGGTCGTCTATATGTTTGGATTTAGAGTTAGTAAATCATTATTAAATTAATTTAATTATTAAAACAACTCTGAAATGTACTAATTTCTTTAATCATTGTAATATCAACTGTCCTTAATGATGTTTTTTTCTGTTAGACCTACGCCATTAATCCGCTGGAGCAAAGAAGGTAGTGACCTTCCTGTCAACAGGACTTTCTTTGAAAATTTTCATAAGACCCTCAAAATCATAGATGTTTCTCAAGCTGATTCTGGAAAATACAAATGTATGGCAACAAATCGTTTGGGTTCTGCTTACCATATTATTACAGTCAATGTCAAAGGTAAAATTACTGTAATCTGTTTAGTATTTAAAAGTTTGCATGTATATTCTGCAAACAGTATTTCTAAATTCACATTCTTGCCAGATCAGAAATACATCCTTTAATAAAAATAAAAGTTGTCAAGTCTCACGTGATTCATTGTGACTTCATAGCAACTTTTTATTTCCTTGGTGTCTTATAATTCTTTCTGATAATTCATAATAACCACATGGCATGAGGAGAACCTTCAAATATGTAGAATGTAATCTGAAGACAGATTTACATCTGGTGGACCATTGTGGTCAACTTTTTAGTGCCTAAGGGTTGCAGTTACACCTTTCTTTCATCTAAGTCCACATTCTAATTCCATGTTATTATAGTAGGTAGAATAATAAATAATTGGACCAATGGCAGGAAAGAAATGTTAAAAGAAAATAAAAACAATTAAAAAATTAGAAGACTTGGTAAAACTTTAAAGTTGCAATAACCTGTAAGACTGTCAGTGCAGCAAGGACAGAGCACCATGGGCTGATAAAAGTATCAAACCTCTGTGCTGCTTTTGGCCTATAAACTGTTCAACTGAACAATGCAGTCGTAAAGCACAACTTCATGCAACCACATTGTGTAGCAGTGGCACTCCCCATTGCCATCTCTAACCAAATCCCACGGTTGTTAGGCGAGGACCCACCCCAATCCAAGCCATTCCTGGTTTGGTCCCTCCTAGCCCTGAGCCTTGGTAAGGTAAGAGACTACATCTTCTTGAACTCCCCACAACTGCCTATTTCCACCCTTAATTGGCTGCCTGCCAACACACTGTTGGCAGCTGCCCCTCCTGCCCAGCCCTGCTGGCTGCCGCACTGCATGCCATTATTGTACTGTCCAGGGCCTTCTTTTGAGCTGCCGCCTTTCGCGCTGGAGCAACCAGGTTTTCTCTTGTGCCCACCCTAAGCCCTCTGTTTGCACCCTGCCCAGGGCATCCATTCGCACACCAGCCAGGGTCTCTGTTTGCACCCCACCCAGGGCCTTCTTTTGCAAAAGAAGGTCCCAACTGCACCAGCATGAGAGAGGGACCCAGCTAGAAGGGTCCTTCTTTCATGCCAGTGCAGCTGGGACCTTATTTCACATGCCAGACTTCTTTCATGAAAGGAGGCCTTGTACAGGGACACAGAGGCCCTGGCTGGAGCATGAACAGAGGCCTCACTGGCATGCAAACAGAGGTCCTGGCTGGCACACAAACGGAGGTCCTAGGCAGGACACAAGAGAAGCCCTGGCTGCACCAGTGTAAAAGATGGTGTGAAAGAAGGCCCCAGCTGGTACAGCAGTGGCATGCAGTGCAGTGGGCAGGGTGGTGGGGGCAGGGCCAGCAGAGGCGGCAGCTGGTAGCAGCGGGTAGGCGATTAGCCTAAATGTAGTCGTAAATGCGTGTGGGCCGAAGTGTGCCTGAATTTTATTCACATGACCACGGGGGCATTGCAACAGCCAGAACTTCAAGGACCAGTCGTAAGTCCCTTTGTTCAGCGTTGTCATAACTTCGATCACTGAATGAATGAACATTAAGTGAGGATTACCTATAGTTGTATTTTCAGCAATTCTTCAGCCCCTTAATTCACCGAGCCTCTGACATAAGACACTTTTTAGGGATAGGAAAAAGTTTACAGCCATTTCAAGGGGTCTCTACCAAATATTTTATATATTATTGAATTTAAACTACTTTTACTATAGTGATCTGTGCATCTTTTTAGAATCACAACCAAACAGAAAAAGATGAGTGGCAGGTGATGAAAGTTTGTGCCTTGAATAAAATTTGTTAGTCTGAAAAAGTGCTACCAAATTTCTGATTATTAACCAAACAATTTATTTTATTTTCTTAATAAATGCACTTTTTGTTCTATAGGCACTTGGAATGTTGGCATTAATTATATTAATTTGTCATGACTGCAAAAACTAGCAGCTGAATGTTTTTGTTTCTTTCTTTAAACTCAGCTGCACCTTACTGGATAAGAGAACCTACAAACCTTATATTATCTCCTGGAGAAGATGGTTCCTTGACTTGTAGAGCTAATGGCAATCCTAAACCCAGCATAAGATGGTTAGCAAATGGAGTTCCCATTGAAAGTAAGGGCTGTTTTCACTTTTATGTCATGTTAAATTCTTGTTTGATATTAGTTGTTTTGTCAACATAAGATTTTGAACCGATAGCCAAGGTCTTGTTAAGAATGAGCACCAAGGTTCCCAAATTAGCAGAACTGCCATACTATAGTTTAATGTAAGTAGAATAATGCATATTCTATAAGACAAAATCTAAAGTTGCAAAGTATGAATTCACCACTAATTAATTTATTTCAAGAGAAATTAATCCTGTTTTGTCTTACAAAGTAAGAGCCTTAGAATTTGCAAAGTAGCCAGATCGTTAGTTAAGAAGTTGAAGAAAGGAATCTAAAACCACTAATATCAAGTGCGTCAGTGAGAGGTAGTAGTTTGTTAATGCTTCTAAACCAGGCTCCCGCCCAATCCTTTCTGAAGCTTATTTTTTCTTTTCCACTAAGTTGCTATGCAACAGTTAGATTCAGGTGACTCTGGGAAGAGAAAGTTTCAAATTGTACCTAATAAGGAGAGAGCCAGCATCTTCTGTGAAACAATTCATTAGAGAAAAAAACTTAGCTCTAGTTTGCTAAGTTCTTATAGTGGAGCATTTTGTTTGAGAGGATTTTTAATACTACGTTTATTTTTAGAAATGATGAATCGTGCATTTCATCCACTGGGTTGCTCAATTGATGTATAATTGCCATAAATTCTAAATTTTAAATCAAAATAGTTAAGTATATTCCTGAGGGAATTAATTTATTTGCTACTAAAAGCATCCATACAGGCTATCATTGATTGTACACAGGTGGTTTTATTTTCCAACTTTCATGGCTTTCTAATTTACTGCAGGAACAAATATACCAAGTGCATCATTTAAACAATAATAATAATTCTGATTTCTAAGCTATATAGTATTTATACGTTTCTGTGATCCAGGGGTAGGTGTAAACATAGTTGAAAATATGAATTAAGAAAGGCTTCTTTTTCCGCCGGGCCCAAAGCCACAATTGTATTTTTAAGGAAAAAAATGCAACAGTATAAGCAGGAGTGTGTGTCTGTGTCTGTGTGTGCATCTCTGTGTGTGTGTTCATGCATGAGGATATGTATTAGGTCTGTGTGTGGCTCCAGTTTTTTTTAAAAATTGTGATTTGGAGCCTAATGTGGTTGCACACATAGCACCTGTTGGGAACATCTTCATAAACTGTATCTTTTCCTGGGCTTGTGAGGCTGCCCTCCATAGTTGCTACATGATCTCAGGAAAAAAACATATTTCATTTCACGTGTTCTAACAGGTACTGTGTTTAAGCCCATGTATGCTTCAAATCACAATTTACTCTTCAAATCTGGATCTCTGCACAGCCTATGTACATAGACTCTGAATTCTAGTCCCACCTTATGGGTGACTTGCCAGATGGGTGATCTTGGGCCAGTCACTCTCTCTCAGCCCTAGGAAGGAGACAATAGCAAATCACTTCCAAAAAACCTTACCAAGAAAACTGCAGGGACTAGTCTAAGCAGTCTCCAGGACTCAACACTGACTTGAAGGAGAAGGAGAAGGAGAAGGAGAAAGGACAAAGAACTTGAGTATGTTGTCTTTCTTCTGTAATGGAATTCGAGGTTTATTTGTGGTAGGAAAGGTCCATCTCCTATAGTTATCTATGTTCTTGTTTTTATAACAGATAGTAGTACAGTAGTGTTTTTATTTTAATAATAATAACAGTTATCAAGCACACTTATATTAAAGAACTATGAACATAGTCCTCAGATTTATAGAACAGTCCACTAGGGGGAAAATAGAAGGAAGTGATTTTTAGCCATTCTTTCTTGCTCTTATGCCTCCTAAAAAGAATTCCAAAAGATCTGAGGATGTTCCAAGCAAGATGGGAAGCAGAATTGGGAGTAACAGAAATAAATGGAAAGGGAAAGTATGAAATTGCCTTCATAATTGTATTAGGAGCCTTTGCTTGTTTCAGTCTTTTGCGGAATAAAATATTCCATTCTGTTTGCATATAATCCAGAAATAACCCAATGAACTGCTGCTGCTGGACTACAGCTCCCAGCTTTCTTCACTACTGACCCTGCTAGTAGGTTCTGCCAGGAATTATAGAAATATCTAGAGTGTCAAAACTGCCTACCATTGATCTAACCCAAGGGGTAGAAGAAAAACCATAACTGAGGTGCATCATATTTTGCATGAAGAAAATTTCCAGTCCAATTTCCATCTCCAGTTGTAAGTGGATTTCAAATAGTATTGAGAAAGATTGAGCCTAAATAGAGAAATCAGAGTGCCTTAAAGGTAGCTTCAAGGAGTGTTCATATTAATGCTGGTGGAATTCAACCTTGCTGATACAAATGATCCACTGGCTTGAGATCTAATTATTATAATCTGATTCGGACTACTAACATTAAACTATACCTTATGTAATTTGTGTTTGGTATGTATTATGTAATTCTGTTTTAAAGTAAGGTTGGTACATGGCAGAGAGTCAAGGAATGAGTGTGCAAGTGTATGTTTATTTCCAGAGTTAATAAATCATTTTTTATGAAGATTGAACAGCAGCTTCTGCAGCAAACCATGATGTTCACAAAATAACAACACGCATGATAAAGTAATCACCATGTAAATGCCATGATTATGTACTTGTGTCAGGACATCTGACATATATTTAAGTCATGTCATTTGTATGTTTACATCATTGTATCTGTATCATTACCCTGTCCCAGGATGCTCATGATATTGACCTACAAATGAAGACTGTAATGGAAATTTTGTACCTTCAGAGAAAATACTTAACCAATGCTAAATTTTTGACTTTGTAATGGGGAAGGAAAAACATCTAGGTCTATGTGATTGAGTCACTTTCATTTATATTTTACTTAAACTTTTACTTCCCTTTGGCTCTTTTTGCTACAATTTACATATAGCTGTTTCCATAAAAAATAGATGTGCAATTTCATAAATTATATGATATGAATATTCAAAATTATATTATAAATTATATATTGCACCTTAAATTTCTTACAGTCTTTTTGACCTTTCTTCAAAGATGTGGAATTATTTTTGATGTTACAATCCAAGAACCATTTTTTTCAGTGTTAAATAATTTAATATTTCCTGTGTGTTTTAACAGTTGCTCCTGAAGATCCCAGCAGAAAAGTTGATGGTGATACAGTTATTTTCACTAGTGTGCAAGAAAGATCAAGTGCTGTGTATCAGTGTAATGCCTCTAATGAATATGGATACCTATTAGCAAATGCATTCGTGAATATTTTAGGTAAGACGGTTGGTGTTTTTTAAAAATACAAAATCCAATAATAACTCTATAATTTTTCTATTCCTCATTAATACACATGCTACAATATTTGTTCATTGGTAACTTCAATATTATTTATTGGGCTTGCCTTTCCAGTACCTACATCATACTTAGAAACATGAAAAATGCATAAAATGGTATAGTTAATAAAATGCATAAAATGGTATAGTTTCTTTTCTTAATAAAAAGGAAACATAATGAAAGTCAGACTTTGATCTCTCACCACCTAAAAAACCCATTGCCATATGCCAGCCCAACAAAGTCTTACATATAATTCTGTGCATCTTTATTTTGGGGGATCAGTAGGCTAGGTCCTATATAATTTGTATAAGATAGTTATTTGGATTAGTCAACTTTATAGGATATGTGTGCCTTCAAATCAGACTTGACTCTTGGGACTGCATGCACAAGTTCCTGCAGCTGTCTTGTCAAACTTTTTGGAAGTGGTTTGCCCTCTCCTTCTTCCTAGGGTTGTGAGTGAATGGCACAAAGTCACCCAGCTGGCTTTCTGCCTAAAGTGGGACTAGAACTTAAATTCTCCTGGTTTCTAGCCTGATGCCTTAACCACTACACCAAATTGGATTATAGCAAAGCAAATTCTACAAAAAGCTTTATAGATAAGCTACTTTATTTTTTATTAAAGCCATGATTCTTAACACACCTTCTTGGAAGCAAGCTCTTGGAAAAATGCAAGGTGTCCTGTTAAATGTAAATTTTTGGTATTGTAGCTTGGGCAACTGGTGAATTAAGATGCCAGTTCTGACGGAAAATGTTCACAAATTACCCATAAAAAGCAGTCCTTGTATTTCATTGGATCTGTAGAAAACCATGATAATAGTCACAAAATTATAACACATCCTCTAAAAATTATTTCAACACCCATTTCAGTCACATTTGCAAATGTGGCTGACACTAATGCATTTAGCATAACTAAATACTCCATTCTTAGAAGTCTTACTCAAGTTATTACATAAGAATCATTATAAGGCAATGTTAGAAAACTGTCTTGGGAACTCCAAAATCATAATAAATTTATTATTGAGATCTTTTTCTCATTGTGGATTCTTTTTTTAAAAAATTCTAATTCGTTTTTTAAAATAACCTATTGGCTAAAAGACAGATTGGTAAAACTTAGTTTCAAATTGCCAAATAGGAAAAAGGAGAAACTTACATATACTCTGATCTTTTTAAATATTGTTCTCCTTAATTCATTTAGGTTATGGTAACGGAAACATTACTGTCACATGTCATTGGGGCAAAAGGGGTTATCTTCAATTCAAGATTGCCTACCTTTAAATAATCATCTTTTAAAAAATATTTCCTATATACATTTTCCTATACAAATGCATTCAAAAAATTCACATCACTTGTAAATATAACGTTTTTATTTTCAGCTGAACCACCAAGAATCCTTACTCCATACAATAAACTTTATCAAGTCATTGAAAATAAGCCTGCATTGCTAGATTGTGCTTTTTTTGGTTCACCTATGCCTGAAACTGAATGGTAAGTCACTCACAATGAAAACAATCATTCACGCATAATAAACATTCAACTAATGAATATTGTGGGAATCTGGAAAGTTAAATAGAGATCTATACCTTTTTGTGTACTTTAATTGCTTGCCTTCCATTTCATGTGAAGGGAACCTTGATTAATTCATTTAATTTTCAATTTTATACATAATTAATTTGTCTTACACTACTTAGCACAATATCAGATGATAGATTACATCTGTGACTATAAATAATCATTCTCTTTTATTTTAAATAACTACCAGCAGGAGGGGAGTCAATTAGGTTTGGGATCACTGGGGTTAAGCAGTTCCCCCTACCAAGTACTCTCATCAACAGAATCACCCAGGGATCAACAGCAATTTCAGAGCATTGGAGTGGAAGGAATGAAAATATAAGCCTCAAATGATATGCTGTAGTCCCAAACTTTATTAGGGATAATGCCGTTAAAAAAAAAAAAAATTCTCCTCTTAAATCCAATAATTTATTTAATATTTTCTATGAGTTGGCTCTTTTATTTCTTCTGTTGAATATCTATATAATCATCTTTCTACACTTTATCAAATATTAGTGCATCTCTATTGGGGTTTAGGGATGCAATAGGCACTTGTTATCCCCAAATAAAGTCTAAGTTAATGCATAATTTGGATAATCTCTTTCCAATACATAGGTTTCAAGGAGTAAAAGGTAGCATTCTGCAGGGAAACCAGTATGTTTTCCATAATAATGGAACCTTGGAAATTCTGAGAGCCCAGAAGGATAGCAGCGGCATGTACACCTGCATAGCAAGAAATAAACTAGGAAAAGCACAGAATAACGTTTATTTAGAAATCAAAGGTAAGAAATCATGGCTCTGAAATAAAAGCCACCTAATCTGTTTACCAATTTGTAGCTGTTAAGCGTCTTACTAATTATTTTATGTTTCAGAGCCCACAGTGATTATTAAGCAGCCTGAATACAAAGTTGTACAAAGGATGGAACAGGTTTTCTTTGAATGTGTAATTAAATATGATGCAACGTTAATACCCACAGTTACATGGTTGAAGGAAAATGATGAATTGCCAGATGACGGACGGTATGTAACCCTAACCCTAACCCCACTTCTCTACAATTTAATAAAACACCAACAAGGGAATAACAGATAAAGCATTACTATTTTTTTTAAGATCGTGCTTTCTGCAATGCATCAATTATATGATTTCTCTCCACCAGGCATGTACAATTTAATATGGTTAAGTATAGGTAAATCCTCTGTTTAACATCATGTTGCATCTCTTGACATCTCCTCCAACCAAAAAGAATCTTTTCCTGGGGTCATACTTCAACTGCAAAGAGAAAAGAAAGCCAGAATTGTGTAATGATTAACGCAGTAGACTAACACTGGGAAGACCCAGGTTCAAGTCCATCTTCAGCCACAGAAGTTCACTGGATGACTTCATGCCAGCCACTTCCTCTCAGCTCAACTTATCTCGCAGTGTCATTATTATGAGGAAAAATGGAAGGAGGGACCTTGATCTATCCTGACCTAAAGGCAAGATAAAAATCAAACAAATAAACAGTGCAGGTAGTCTAGGTTGCTGCTGACAGGCAGCACTTCTTCACAACTTCCTAACACCTTTTTTTTTTTTAACCAAAAGTGCTGTACAGCCTTAAAAAGTAATAGGATGGATAGTGAGAAAGGGCAGATAAAGAATTTTGTTGATTTTGTTAGCAGAAATGTATCAGCATGCAGAGCTGCAGGAGACTTCCTAATAGGTTACATCTATGAAGAAGCAGGCAGGCAGGCAGGAGCCAGAAAAGGTGTGGTTGAGAAAATGGTTCAAAGTTCAAACCGCATAGACATGTTCAAAGGTTTCAGCAGCAAGGCAACACTGAAAGTCACCTTCTGCACAAGATTCAAATTAAAGGCTCATCAGGTATGATGTAAGATTGTTCCTGATGTTATTTCAGTCCTTGTCTCAGACAGGCTTTTATGCAATAAATTTCCTATCCCCATTACTTCAACCTATGGTGATTCAAGTACTGGGAGGATGTGCATATCTTTTATTATTTTAATGAAACATATTTCAATTATATGTTTGATGTATAATAAAATATAAATAAAAACTAGAAAAATAGCTAAAATTAAGGCATTGACTTTTATTCACCTTAAAATGTTGAAATACCCATGAAAAATAACAGGTATTTTAAATAGTTCATCATCATCATCATCATCGCTGCTCAACACTGTCCAAATATACAGCCAAGATATTGCAATGGAGTTTGGACTGGACAAATATGCCACCCTTACCATCAACAATAGTGAAAACTGAAAGAATCGGGATGCCCAGTGTAAATAACATCAAGAGTCTGGATGAAGAAGTTTACTACTAATACCTGGGCATCCTTCAGGCTGAGAACATCAAGCACACTGAAGTCAAGAAGAAAGTTAGTAGTGAATACTCAGAAGAGTGAAGATCTTAAAGTCCAAACTCAGTGGTGGAAATACCATCAAGGCGATAAAAGCCCTGGATAGGAAAACCAGCAAAATAATGACAGTAAATCATGCCCTTCATCCATGCAGTGATGTTGACAGACTCTACTTACCAATGAGCATAGGTGGGCATGGAATGTTAAAGTACACCAGATAGTCGAAGAAAAAAAAAGTGCATTGGAAAAATATCTGAAGGACAGTGAAGAAGATGCACTGAGACCAGTACACCATGAAGGCTTACTGAATCCTGAAGAGACCAAACTGGCCTATAAGAAAGACCAAATGAAAAATAGAAAAGAGACATGGCAAGGCAAAGCATTACATGGCAGTAGACACACACACACACACAAAAAGATTAGCAGGCAAAGCAGATAACAAGAAGACCTGGAGAGCGGGAAAGTTGAAGAAAGAGACTGAGGGGCCAGTTCTGGCTGCACAAGATTAAGCCTTAGGAACAAATGCATATAAAGCCAGAATTGAGAAGACAGCAACAGGCAGCAAATGCCACCTCTGCAAAGAAGCTGAAG